AAAGAAAGATTGAGGTTTATTATTGCAAGCTGGGAACCGGGCCCAGCAGCCCTCACACCAATAGCCATGGCCCACAGGGATGATGAGCCAGGCTCACCGGCCAGGCTTTGCCAGGCTCACCGGCCAGGCTTTAACCCCAACCACAGCAAAGAGCACAAATAGACCTGTTAAAAAAAAAGGGGTCCCCGTGTTCCTAACACCAGCACAAATCAACAGCTCCTGTAGCATCAACCCGGGGTTGTTTTTTCTAACAAAAAAAAGAAAAAGAAAAAAAAGAAAAAAGCACAAAATAACCACAATTCCTACACCGAGTAATCTAACACCCCACTCTTTCTCGTGACTCTACTGAAGTTACCCCCTCTGTTTTCTACCAGTCCCAAAGCAATTCTTTTTTTTTTTTTTTTTTTTTTTTAAACCACCACTACCTTTCCCATATGTCGGCCGCGGGCATCTAGTAGCCTACTCCTGAAAAATAGCTGCCCCGACGCCATTGATATTTTTCATCGACGGCGCGTCGCGGCCGAATTTTAATTTCAGGCCCGCGGCCCCACATATGAGAAAGGTAGTGGTGGTTTAACTATGCTATCTAGGCTACCAGCCGGGCCGCCCAGGTCACCCTATTTTCCCGGGCGGCCGTGCAAGGACGAGGGGAGGTCCCAGCCAAAAAAAAAAAAAAAAAATCCAGAAAAAAACTATGTTATGCAGAAACACAAATTGAACAACTTTTGCCTCAGGGTCACGTCGAAATTATTTATATGAAACTTGATCAGGGGCGATGGCCCCCTGGTCTCAGATATGGAGCTGGTGAGAGTCTGCAATGGAGCTGAAGCTGCGGGGCGACTCTGGTCTTAGGGGCTCGTTCCACACTCCTCGGGCGCGTAAATCCCCCGAGGAAATGATCGTTGCACTTATCCTCGGGGAAGAAATTGAAAAAAAAATGTGAAAACATTTCCTCGGGGATTCCTCAGGGATTCCTCGGGCCACAGCCATTTCTACGTGTTCCCCAAGGGACCTCCCGACGTCGAGCATCCGGAAGAATCGGGACGTCGTCGGCAGCTCTCTCGACGACATTTTGTGACGGCCGTCTGTACCACTGTTGTTCCTGGCGCCCGTGGACGGACGTCTTCGATCGGCAACGGTCGGCGTCATGGAAGAGTGCGCCAACGGTCCCCTTTTGCGGCCCGGTCGCTTCCCCGACGTCGAAAAGCGGCTTTCTTCAAGTTGCGTCGCCGCCCTTGTCCCCGAGCGGGAAGGCGCCCAACGGTCGCAAGATTCAAATATTTGAACCATCCCCCGGCCGGGCGATTGCGCAATGTGTTCACAAACGGAATGCGTTACTGTGCTTTTGTCGTTTGTTGCGGTCAGGCGTTTGCAGCAGTGTCCGTCGCCGTTACGTGATAGATCCCCCGTTGTCTACTAGCTGCCACTGTCATCCACGTGCTTTTCATGGCCGACGTCTTTCGGAGGCTGCCGCTGCTGCTGCTGGTCGTCCTATTGCTCCTCCTCCTGGTTGTCTTCCACGTGTGCATCCTCGGCGGCCTTCCGCGACGTGGTCGCAGAAGGAGGTGTGTGAAGAACAACGACAAAATGGAGGGCCGGAAGGCGATCAGCGGGTCTGCAGGGGAGTGCGGTTGGCGGTGGTCCGGGCACAGCCGGCACAGCCCGTCGAATAGTCCAAGGCCATCGGAGCGGTCCAGGCACGTGCACCTGCCACCGCACTTGCAACCTCTGCCTGACACGGACGACGAGGAAGGGGACGATAGACGGTCACAGACCGTGCCGCTGGGAAGCGGATCCACCAGGAGTGGGCGGCTACAGAGCTGTTTGGAAGTCGCGACGGCGGTAAAGGGCAGTCGTACACCGAGCTCCTCCAGCAGGGGCTCAGCGACACCGATGGCGATGGCGGCGTGAATCTGTCGTTTGGACTCGGCAGCGGGAGGTCGGCAGCCGTCTCTCGAACGGTCGTTGTAAACCCCCATCCCGACGACGATGGCGGCGACCTGACGGCTGTTCAGCGATCACCCAGGCTCCAGCGCCGCTGCGGGAGGCTTCGGGGAACAACAAGGATCCTCCTAGGCAGCAATTTCGGTCGCCGTCTGTGTGTAGGGGTGCCTCCGCTCGCCCCCAGTGGATGCAGTCTCCGTCTCCCCTGTCCGCCGGTTCGAGTGCAGGGCATCGTGCTGGCGAGTGTAGGGAGACGGCGCCTGCCGTTGCTCATGTTGGTGACGCACGTGACGGAAGGGAGGTGTGGGCAGAACAGCGACGGTTGATGAGGTCGGTGCAGGAGGAGTCCATAACTCGGGGGGTGCAGCAATTGCGTGTTGGGGAAGACGGGCATGACGGCGAGGAAGCAGTGGGGGACGCGCACGACCCCGACTGTAACGACAACGGCGCTGAAGGTGGGGAGGACGGCGTAGGCTACATTTCGCCGTCGAAGCAGGCGGCCGCTATGGGAGGGAGGGGGGGGAAGACGAAGTCGTGTGGCGGTAATGGTCGTCGGGGCAAAAGGACGACAGGCAAGGGCAACGATGCCGAAGGTGACGTCGATGGTGAAGGAGGTCGTCACTTCTGGTCCGTCGATGACATTATAGCCCTCATCCGGGCTAAACGTGATCAGGATGCGCATTTGCAGGGGATGGGCCACGCGTACGCTCGGATGAAGCCGCGAGAATGGAAGTGGCTGGATGTGGCGACGAGGTTGAAGAAGGTGGGCGTCGACAGAGAGGCCGATCGGTGCGGGAAGAAGTGGGACAATCTGATGCAGCAGTTCAAGAAGGTTCATCATTTCCAAGGACTGTCCGGGAAACAGGACTTCTTCCAATTGTCAGGGAAGGACAGGATGTCGAAGGGCTTCAGTTTCAATATGGATTGTGCGGTTTACGACGAGATACTGGGGTCGACCGCCAAGAACCACACCATAAACCCGGAGAACGTCGCGGACACTGGCGCTCAGGGTGGTGTGCATCAGCCATTCGCCTCCTCTGCGGATCCTGAATCTGTGGGCGACGGGGACGGTGGTGCAGAGTACGATGACGACGATGACGGGTCCACCAAAGGTTCTTCGCAGACGACGGGTGGCGCAGGCGGTTTCGGCAAGAGGAAGAGCACAAGGCAGCAAACATTTGAGGCAATGACGGAGTGCATGGAGAAGCACGGGGCGTTAATGGCATCAACGATGGAGAGCAACAACAAACGTCATTGCTCCATCGCCATACGTCAGTGCGAGGAGATGGAAGCGGAGATCGAAGTGCAGAAAAAGCACTACGCAGCGTCAGACGAAGTCAGCAAGCTTATGTGTCATGCCTTGCTGGAGATAGCGAAGGCCATCGGCAAACGTTAGACTTAGTGTCGCCTCTGTTGTGCTCTCTGTTCGCTTGCATGGAATTGGACAGAGCGAAAGTAATAGTCTTTCCGTCGTCGATGTAGCTTAGCTTAGCCATCGCCGTCGTCGTCGATGTGTCGTTCCCCCAATGTCGGTGCTGGCCAAGGAATTGGGTACTGGTCCAATTCGGTGGATGAGTCCTTCAGTGAAATTTGTTTTCGTTTTTTAAATTGTTTTTTTTTTTTCATTGTTCGTTTCGTTTGTTGTTGGCCTCGATCGTGTGATGGGACGGATGATACCGTCAACTCTGAATTGTAATTGGCATCGATTAAGTGCAGTATGCACTTTCTTTTTTTACATGACGACATCGATTTCGTTCTCTTACTCTCTCGTTTCTTTGTGTCTTTGCCGTAAATGAAATGCAGAGGTGTAATAAAGGTGTTGTCTTTAATGCCGTTGTTTTTCGGATTTTTTGTGTTCAATCGAAATCGGCTCCCTCTTTCTCTCCAGCGTGTGTTTCGGTGTATTCTCCTGAAATGAAATGCAATGGTGCCATGAAGGTGTTGTCTGTGTTGCCGTTCTTTTGTGGGTATGCATTTGCTAATGTTGTGCATACACCCAATTAGTCATCGATTGAGTACAGGCGTACTTGGGTTCGATCAAACGTCCCCCCCTATAGCGGATGTCGAGTCATGACAGCTGTACGAAATGCACGTTATGTTGTGTGTTGTGTGTTTTGTGTTGGTCTATTTACCTGTTTTCGTTATCTCGTAGATAGTCGGGCGGGGTGCTTTATTTCGGAGTTCGGGAGGGGGAATATTGAACCCGTCCAGGCGAATATGCATGCCATGTTGGGGGGTCGGGGTAGGGGGCGGTTGGGGGGGGGTGTGAGGGTGGAATGCGGGCGGGGGTTGGTTTTCGCGGCTTTCCGGGGTAGGAGGCGAGTTCGGTCCTCGTTCATGGCTGGCATGGAGTGTGGACGATGGTAGAGTGGGATGGAGTCGTTTGTGGGGGCATCATTTCGGCCTGTGGGGTCCCTCCGTGTCCACAATCCACGAGGGGAGGCGAGACGAAGGGCGGTGGCGCAACGGATGCACGACCGCGTTGCCCGCGACCCTTCGCCTTTCGTCTCGCCCGCCGCGATGACCCTGCGTTTTTCTTGTCTTTTCGTGAAGCTTGGAAATGACCCTCGGCTGACCTTCGCGCTACGTCTGTGCTGCCGTCCACCCCGCGTGACACGTGTTTATAAGGACGCAGGCGTTCTGCGCAAATTCACGACAACACTCTCTCTCTCTCTACCTCACGCAGTCCCCGCCGTCCGCTGCGCTTATTCTGCTTTTGGTCGCAGTCGTCTGCGCCACTCGAGTCGCCTTCGTAGCCTGCATCTGCGCCTTCGTCGCCATCGTCGCCATTGAGCCTTTTTGTTCAACATCGTCGCCGTCATCGCCATCGTCGCCGCGTCCATCGCCAACGTAGTTATCTTCACTGCTTGCGTCTTCTTTGCAGTCGTCTTCGATGACATTCTCCTCGGTGAGCACGTCTTTTCGCCCGTCGTCTTCACTGCCATCGTCGCCTTTCTGTAGATCCTCGCCTTCGTCGTCCAGATTGTCATCGTCACCGCGGGTGCGTCTTGCGCCATGTCCTCACGCGCTTCCGCACGCGGCAAGGCCGCCGCCAACCTCTCACAACAACCGTCGACCCGGGAGAAGAAGGGGCGCCACATGGCCAGCAAGAAGAGGAAGATCCTCGAAGGCGCCCCGACACATGGAGGTTACGTGTTGGATGAAGAGTGGGTGCCGGAGGACGTGGCGACGCAGGAGGGGACGGATTTCGAAGACTCTGACGACATGCCGTTGCAGCGGAAGTCCTCCAGGCGGGGGAGTGGCGGCATCTGCATAGACGACGCTGGCGAAAGACGACGCTCAGGAGGGTGGCCAGCATCGGAAGACGTCCTCGACGTTGACGCCGTGACGGCAGCCAGAGAGGGCGCGGAAAATCGCGCGCCACTGCCACATATGACTCCACCAACCGACGCGCAAGAGGGCGTGGTTCACTTACGGACACCGCTGACACCACGCTCGAGGACGGGTGCAAACGTGGCCTTGTCGGGCGGGCCATCACAGGCGGCGGGAGGGGTGAGGGCAGGCGGGGCAGATGGGGGGGGG